AGTATATTTAGTGTGCTTCTAATTAGATCTGTATGGGTATTCTGGAAGGTCTTTAATCAAGACAGAATTTGATAATAGTGGTTGCATAGGGGGTTACAGAGGGGTTTGTATGGCTGGAGAATGGAGTAAAAGATACACTTGTACCATGTAATTCTTTTGTCTCTTGAATCTAGAACCATGTAACATATTATTTTTTTAAGTCTTTTTTTAAAGATTTATTTATTTATGCATACAAGAACTGGGGTACAGGCCAGAGGTGCAGGGTGGGTGAGAGGATTCACCAGAGACAGAATGGGGAACAGAACAGGCAGAATGACTGAAATACACTGCTGAGGGGAGCAGTGGGTGAGGCAGGAGAGGTCTGCTATGCCATGTGGGTAGATCCCTGGCCTGCAGGGGATCGAACTTGTGCTGCAGAGGCTGTGGACAGCTTCACAGTGCTGTGCTTAACCCCTTGCACCACCAGGGAGGCCCCATGTGACATGTTATTTAATAATAAGTAAAGCAGGGGGGGAGCTTTACTTAAGAGATAATAGTATAATATTTAGGTGCAGCAAATACTAAAATAAATAACCAAGACTCCTGAAAGCAGAAGCTCCAGAAGTGCATCAGTAGACATGCCAGGGAAGCAATGTTTCATTAGAAGCCATTTGCACTACCTGACTTTTTAACGAGCATCTATTTCTTAGACAGAATTAACATATTTAACAAAAACACAATTGCAAAAAATTAGAACAAGAGATTTATTAAGAAAATCAGTAACATACTATCTCATTGACCAAGGATAGTAATGTTTTTTTTTTTTTTTAAAGTTTTTTTTTTTTTTTTAATTTTCTAGAGGCATGTCTTATTTATTTTATTTATTATTTGTTTGTTTGTTTGGTTTATACATGCACTGGGTACAGTCAGAAGCGCAGGAGGGTGAGAGAATTCACCAGAGCCAGAGCGGGGAGCAGAGCAGGCAGAAGGACCGAAGTACACTGCTGAGGGGAGCAGCGGGCGGCAGGAGAGGTCTGCGCGCCATGTGGGACCCTCCTCCGGTGGCCGGGGAGCAGCCGGGGATCGAACCGGCTGCAGAGGCTGCAGGCAGCTTCGCAACCCAGCGCTCAACCGCTGCGCCACCGGGGAGGCCCGATAGTAATGTTTTGATATGTGACATCTTTTAGTCTTTTTTCTCTCTCAATAAATGTGTTCACTTTACATTTGATTTTATGTCCTTTTTCTCTTTTTAATTTTACTAAGCTAGTCATATGGCTCCTAAACACTTTTTTTTTATAAAAACAAAAATCTGAACATATCCAACACTTTTCCAAGTAAAGAACATACTCTCAGATAACTCACCATGGGGTCTCTCCTGTAAGCAGTTTTATAATAGTGATAAATGTGGCATATTTTGACAGTGTTCACCAATGTCTTTGTTGCCTGTGAACCAATCCTGATATTTAAGTAACTAGGATTGCTGGATTCTGTTCACATTATCTAATGCTATACTGTCTCATGACATATACTTCTTGTGAGTGGAAAATCTTACCAGTGTATGATTTCAAAGATCTACAGAGAAGTCATGTGACTCAACAAAAACAAAGCAAACAGTCCAGTCAAAAAATGGGCAGAAAAGTTAAATATGCACTTTTCCAAAGAGGAAATGCAAATGGTCAACAGGTATATGAAAAAATGCTCGACATCACTTATAATCAAGGAAATGCATATCAAAACCATAATGAGATACCACATCACACCAGTGAGAATGGCCCATATTAAAAAAACTGGCAACAACAAATGCTGGCATGGATGTAGAGAAAAAGGAACCCTTGTATACTGTTGGTGGGAATGCACACTGATCCAACCACTACAGAAAGCTGTGTGGAGGACCCTCAAACTACTCAAAATGGAGCTACCTTAAGGCCCAGCTCTTCTACTCCTAGGAATCTACCCAAAGGACACAAAAACATTAATTCAAAAAGAAGCCTACACTCCTACACTTATGCAGTATTACTTAAATAGCTAAGATATGGAAACAAACTAAATGCCCCAAAATAGATGACTGGATCAAGATGATGTGGTATATATACACATGGAATACTATTCAGCAATCAAAAAGATAAACTCATGCCATTTGCAGCAGCATGGAGCTGGAAGAGATTATGCCCAGTGAACTAGATCAGAAGGAAAAGGAAAAATATTGGATGGTTTCATTTATAGGAATGAAGGATAAATGGAAGTAATCAGGTTTTTCTGTCCTCCCGCCATTGGCATCGATACCTGTGGTCTTTCAGGTACATGCCTGATGGGTGGCACCTGGAGCATGATGTGGGCATGTGTGAGTGGGTGCAACTGAGAGAGACTGAGCATATAAAGGCAGAGCAGAGGGCAGGAGGCAGCAGAGAACCGTGCAGCGGAGTGCAGTGGAGACCAGTGGAGAGACCATGGGAGAATGCCAGAGAGCCCAGAAAGAGTGAAGATTCACCTTTATGCCCTCATGCCCATCCTGTTCCTGGCTGCCTCACTACAAATGGTGTAGAAAGATTATTAAAAGCCTGAAAAAGCAACTGAGGGCTCCAGGACTCCTCCTTTACCCATCTGCCCAGGTCCATAGAGAATGTGCACTGTGCCTTGCTGGCACTACAAGAAGGAATATAGGTAAAACAATAAGCAGTCAGAAAAAAAAAAAAAAGACAAAACAGGCAAAGTATAAATCAGGGACATACAGCAGCGGGGAGGGAGAGGGCTCGAAGCAGAGGAGGGAAGAGCACAAGAAATTATAGTGACAGTTCTCAGGTAACTTGTTGGGGGGAAATTTATGGGGACTACACCTGACAGGAGAAATCAAACATTGTACAAAAATGAACAACAGTGTAAAAAAATATGTAAGTAAATATATTTAAAAAAATCTTATCAGTCCAGAACTCCCCAAGGTCTTCACACTTCAGTTCTCACAAAGAACAAATTAACTGGAGAAGGATCAAGCCAATGGTTTCTGGTGAGCTATAACATGTGTTTGTGTGTGTGTGTGTGATTCTCACCATTTTTCTACTAGTTCCTTATATTTTTAAAGACTTTTCCACCCACAATGTTTTCTTTTCTTGTTTTTAGATTTCTTTTTTTCTTTCTTTATACAATAGCTGGGGTACAAGCCAGAGGAGAGGAAGGGTGAAAGGATTCACCAGAGACAGAGTGGGGAGCAGAACAGGCAGATGGACTGAAAGACAGTGTTGAGGGGAGCAGCGGGCGCGACAGGAGAGGTCTGCTGCACCATGTGGGAATCTCCCTGGCCTGCTGGGAATCGAAACAGCACTGCAGAGGCTGCGGACAGCTTTACAGCGCTGTGCTCAACCCGCTGCACCACCAGGAAGGCCCCACCCACAATGTTTTCAAATCCTGAGCACTAAGCACAGTGGGTAAAAGTGAGGTGTTGGAAGGCAGACAGGCCTGGGGTTCAGAAGAGGCTCTGCCAGGAACTTGGGCTCTATGGCAAGTGTCCAGCTCCATGCTGCACCTCACTGAACACCCCGTGCAGTGTCTATTCATACGGCACACATCATTTTAGGAGGCACTATGTTTCTCTGATCAGGTACCAGATTATACTTGTGATCTGAATATATACTCTTTCCCCAGTGACTGATATAGATTACAGAAGTGGACATACGATGTAGTTATCAGGGTAGATGAAGAAATACCTTTCCTATTTTGCTGTAGTGCTAACTCATTACCTTCAGTGTCTGGAGCAGAGTGGCTGTTAGAACACAAAATGGTTGCACAAGGGGGATTTCAGGGGACAGCCCACTGTGCTTTCCCCTCCAGCCGGTGCCCAGTGCCCGCCTCTCTGCTGCTTATCCCCACACAGCATCGAGGATGATCAAAAGCACAAAGACCAAGAGGCTTCCTGGCATCCTTCTCATGCAGTGAGATGTTCTTCTGGAACCTCTAAGGTTCTCTCCTTCAACACCACCCCTACTTCCTCAACAATAGTGTGAGGACCATTTACTTACTTTATTCATTCATTCAACAATTACTCATGAAGGCTCAAAGAAAATGACCTACTGCCATTTGGGGGCCCAGGTCCTGTCTGTTCCCCTGTGAACATTCAGGCCCTGGGCATGGCCCGATGGCTTCCTTTCTGAATTCCTACTGCCACCAGGATCACTGTATAACCCAGCAGCCCCCTCCCACTAGAGAATGCTACACCAGTCTCCGCAGCAGCTTCACCATCCAACAGACTGGTGGCTCTTTGAATATTATCATCCTCTTGCTACTAGAATTAGCTCTTGGGCAGTGCTGTGATGGCTAATTCCTGGCACACATCAAGCGGGCCTGGCACCCTCAGGCAGTTTCTAAATAAGGGAATGTTTAAACACTGAAGATTTTCTTTTAAATTTGCCTTATCCATAAATTTTGTTTAAAATCATAAATTAATAAGAAGGGGCAGGCTTAGGGGAAAACCCCTATTCTTGCACAGATCCTGGGAAACAAGAGAGGTGAGTAGATGCTGCCTCAAGGTTTCAGGTGCTAGGAATCTGGAAACAGTGAATGATGTCCTCATCCCCACAGTTAAAGATCTGAAGAATCTCTCGCTGATGAACAGAGGTAGTTATTTTCCTGAAAGCCAGGGCTTCCAAAGCATTTTACTGAAATCCTGTTTCAAAACTAACAAAAATGCACTGCAAGTTCTCATTTCTGTTTCCTCCTCCATCAGGTGCTCTGCTTAGAAGAAGCAGTGTCTACCTCTAATCCAGCATCATATCCATAGCACCTGTGATGGTGCAGGTCCACTCTAGGTACTAAGTGGTAGAATTAATTAGTGAAGGAAAAGCACATGCACTCAATTAAATGAGAAGGCAGAGAAGTGTCTAAGCAAATTTGAGAACATTTCCAATAAAGATAATCAAAACCAAAGTTATAGCACAGGGGCTTATTCTTAGTTTGTGCAGAGTTATTTTTTTATGCCTTATACTGTTTAGTATTTGTCTAATATATACTATTTGAATGAAAGTAAATGATACCTGGATAGGGTATTTTCCCATAGGTGACAATTTCATACAGGAGAATTCCAAAGGACCAAACATCAGACTTAATAGTGAAACATCCAAAATTGATGGCTTCCGGAGCTGTCCACTTAATGGGGAATTTAGCACCTACAAGAGAAGACAAGAGTCTTATTTAACCCTTCTAGTAGAAACAATAAAATTCATGGGTGTGCAACACTCACACTTTCCTTCTTTTAGGAAAATTTTAATAATGTATTTTAAATTGGTAACATGTGCATGGTACAAAAAAGATGTTATGCTAAAAATGTTTGCCTCCATCTTTTGCTTCCCTGTGGGTATTCCTCTCTTAAGAAGCATTGTTTCTTCTGTATCCTAACAGGGTATAATAACTTGTGTGTTATAAACAAGACAAAAAACATGATAGAGTAAGTAAAGGCCTCTATTCTGAGCTTGAACTTTTCTCCCTGAACACCAGACTCTAAAGCATCATTTAGTGGTCAGATTTTCTCTAATGAACCCACATTATGTTTATATGAAACACAAATATCTCTTGATGTATATATTTTAGTGGATAAATGTTTTTTAGCCCATACCAATAGGAATTTCAGATGTAACTCCTAACTTTACTGTCTCTTGTTTTTATTATCGAGCATTTAGGGTTTGGGTAGCAAGATGATCTGCCTAGGATGAACTGATGACGACAGTGTGCTTCTCATAAGGACAGGTGAGACTAAGCAGTGAGTAAATTCACATCAACAGACAAGCACATTCTGAATATTTTACCGAATGAGTTCTTTCTTAAATGACGACTATTGTAATTGCTTAGTAAAAAACAGGCCAAAAAAGAAAAATAAACCTGAACAATAACAGACCATCTAAAGAATTGTTACAGAACATACCTTCCCTTGCTGTGTACTCGTTATCTTCAATTACTCGAGCAAGACCAAAATCAGCGATTTTGCACATGAGTGATTCAGAGACCAGGACATTAGCTGCCCGTAGGTCCCGGTGAATGTAGTTCTTCCTCTCGATGTATGCCATTCCCTCAGCGATCTGAAAGACAGAATAAGGCTCTCATTTTCATATTTAGGTAGGCTGCCATAGACAGCCAGAGAGGAAAACCAAAGAACATGAGTTCCTGAAATCATTTCATGTATATTATTCATCATTCAAATTTCAAAAAGCAGTGAATAAATTTCCATTCACCATTTTGAGTCCTTTCTACAATAACTGCACCCCAAATCTCCAATGATGCTATTCACTTTTCAACATGACTTATTAGTAGCTACATGTCTCACCATTTTCTAATGTAAATTGAATCTTTTAAAGACTACTAAATTCCTGCAGTAGATATACAGATGTCACTGTCCTAGTTTTCAAATGAAAAAAAAAAGCTGAAGAAAGTGGCATGCTAATACAAATAAATGACTGGGGTATCACGGAGAGGACACCCGTGGTCGGCAACATCCTAGTGGTCAGCTTCATCAAAGCCCACAGAACCAGTTCTCCCAGTTCTTTCTGCTGTCCCCTCTAGGGGGCCCAGAAAGGTCACCTCAGGACAGAGCATGACAGCAGGAGAGGAATAATCAAAGACTTATTTATTTATTTTTAAATATTTATTTATTTATGCATACAAGAGCTAGGGTACAGGCCAGAGATACAGGGGGTGTTAGGATTCACCATAGACAGAGTGAGGAACAGAACAGGCAGACTGACCGAAGCACACTGCCAAGGGGAGCAGCGAGCGAGACAGGAGTGGTCTGCTGAGCCATGAGGGTTACACCCTGGCCCGCCAGGACCGAACTTGTGCTGCAGAGGCTGCGGAATGCCTCACAGTGTGGTGCTTAACCCCTTGCACCACCAGGGAGGTGGCAGATTTAAACAATGAAATAGGCTGTTTCCAAAGCTTAGCTATTGTAAATAGTGCTGCTATAAACATAGGGGTGCAGGTGTTCTTTGGAATTGATGTTTCTGTGTCCTTTGGGTAAATACCTAGGAGTGGAATTGCTGGATCATATGGAAGCTCTATGTTTAGTAGGTCCAGAAATCTCCACACAGCTCTCCATAGTGGTTGGACCAGTTTGCACTCCCACCAACAGTGCAGGAGAGTTCCTTTTTCTCTACAACCTCGCCAACATTTGTTGTTGCTAGTAAACAGCCCAAATGCCCAAAAATAGATGACTGGATCAAGAAGATGTGGTACATATATACCATGGAATATTACTCAGCATTCAAAAAAGATAAACACATGCAATTTGCAGCAACATGGATGGCGCTGGAAGGGATCATGCTCAGCGAAATAAGCCAAAAAGAAAAAGAAAAATACCGGATGGTCTCACTCATAGCAGGAATCTAGAAAACTTAAATAAGGGATCAGGAAAATGAATAACTATAAGAAAGTGAAAATCAAAATCAACAAAAAACTATGAACCAGAGACACTTTTTGGGGGGTGGGGGCCGGGAGGGTTGGGATTGGGGTCAGAATGGGGCATGTGCAGTTGTATGGGGGAATATAAAAATAAAATTTATTATTTAAAAAATAAATAAATAAAAATAAATATACAATGAAATAGGGGAGGCAAACCATTTTTCATCACTGCCAGATTCTACCTTGATTTTCAAGTGGCTCAGCTTGGAGGCCCTGACTTTCCCTACTCTTTTGCAACACCATCCCTCATTTTTTTCTCAATTCAAACTCTGGTTTCAGTCAGGCCATGTTTCCTAACAAAGGACTGGCTGGTTTGTCATTACTAGGTGTGCGTTTTCCCCTCACCCAGAAGGCCTTTCCTGTCCCAGTCATCCCCAGGCATGCCTTTCCTGAACTGCTCTTGGATAATTTCTCTTGCTGCTACACCCTTGGTGGTGAATTTGTGTAAAACCCATTTGCATTTACTAATCATAGCTTTGTCATTATTTTTATAGTGTTTAATGTGTTTGTCATGCCAGAGACCAGACCTCTCTCTGTAGAAGTCACATATATTTTCTGTTCTCACTTGATCTGTTAAAACCTCTGAATTTGTCACCAAGCCTTTTCCTAAACCAAAGAAAGTTTTTTTTTAAATGTTGGGATTTTTAAAAAAAATGTTGGGTTTTTAGCACTACCAGAATGTTATGCTGTTGGCACATGGCTGCAGGTGCTGCGAGAGTTTGGCCAATGATGTTTTGATGGCCACAAAATCTGGCACATAAAAATCACTGTGTACAGGGTAGGCCTCACTGTGCTGTCAGTCTAGTGGTTCATGCCTGGTCAGTACCAAGGAATTGTCTTGAACAGAGAAAATATAACACAAAGAATGAAAGCGGTCTGATTTTTTTCTTTATTAGAAACAATTCAATAACACACAGCTACTGTAACTAAGACTAATGTGTGGCACTGGGGCAGGGCAGACATGCTGGAAAAGTCCAGGCTAGGTGCTTTGCCTGTCAGGCAAACATAGGGTCCAACCCCTGTCTGCTACTACTGTGAAGGACTGGGTCACTGTATTCCTTTACAACAATATATTAACTCTTTGTGCAAATCCAACAAGGCCATTCTATGCTTCAAACTGGCCTTGAGACATAGTCTGCAATCCCTAACACTGTGGCCAAGGCTCTGCATGACTGGGTCCCTGGTTAACCCTCTGCCTCCTCACTGCAAACATCTGCAGTCTAGTCTCCTGACTTTCACACCTGCCTCTGCTTGGAACATCCTTTCCCTGCTCCTTTCTTCTGGCCAATTCATTCTGCAGGTGAGCTGAGGTATCACCTCCAGCAGCAAGCCTGGCTAGACTCCTTCCCCCGCAATCTGTGTGGCCCCAGGTCTCCTGCTCCTCACCTGTTTATGTATGATTATGACAGGAATTAAGTCACCCAGGGCAGGTGTAGAATGTGCATATGCCTATTCTTGGATACTTATGTAACACCCTAATAATTATATACAAACTGGGCTAGGCGTGTGAAAGAGTCCCAGTTGGCTATATTCCCAGTTTAGATCTGAAACTGCAGTTGACAGTAGCAATCAGGAACCTGTGCTGGACACTCCTGCATGGAGTTGAGTGAGCACGCAGATATGTGCTGGGGGCACTGACAAAGCACCAGGCACCCACATGTCTCATCTTGATGACAGAGTAAGGCATCTTGAGAATTTCTTGGTGGGGCTTTTATCACAACTGTCTAAATGCATACAAATCTGAATGCATTTAAAAAATGATTCTCTGAAATAACAACAGACTTGTAACAAGCCTAGTTTATTTTGGCTTTCCTTTTCACGCCGGAATACTTTAAGGAGCTCATATTTCAAACAATAATAATAGTACTATATTCACCAAGACCATGATTCCAAAACTTGGCATTAATCAAGTTGAATAAATAATAGATATGGGAGCAAAATAAACACTTTTAGCTAGGACTTGCTTTAGAGGTCACAAAAGACTACAACTCTCCTCTTACGTAAAATTCATTCTTTCTTTGGCCTAAATGTATTGTTCTTTCTTGGTTTCTTTAAAAAAAAAAAAAGAAAAAAAAGCTTTTTGTGTTTACTTTGGCTAAAGTAACTCCAGGCCCATTTTGCAACAGCAGGAAGAAGTCAGAGACTACCTTGGCTGATGGAATCTAGGATCAACTTTTGTTTCATGGAATACCTTCTTCTTCCCCCAGTTGTTAGCACTGTAGAAAGAGCTGTTGCATACATACATAGCACCAAGGCTCAGCTGTCCAGAGGGACTGGGAGGGGGACAGAGGAGTATTCACCTCCCTTTCCTATTGCTCCATTAACTCAGAAGGCTCACTCATGAAGGAGTTATCTGGAGTCAGTCAGGTCTGGGGAGGAGCTACTCTGTTTAATTCAAGTGATATGCTCACAGACACTTTACCATGATGATGATGGTGATAGATAGTAGATGATTGATCGGTAGGTAGGTTAGTGGATGGATGGATAGATAATAATAGGTAGATATTAATAACACAAGGAGCTACCACGAGCAACTTACTATGTACCAAACACAACCTTTACATCCAATTCTTGTTTCACCTGAATAACAAGTTTACCAAGTAAGCTTTATTTCCATTGTACACTCTGAAAGCCAGAGTGAAGGAAAGAGGCAGGGTTTACACCTAGTGCCTCTTTACACTGGACTCCAAGATGTCATGTGAATAACAGAGACTGGCCAGTGATTGAGATGCTTCTAGAACTCAAATTTTTCATTGAGAGAATATTTTTGTACTGAGAAGAGAGAAAAATGCTTTTGAAGTTTCCTCTTAGAATTCAGTAATGTTCAGTCCAAATTTCACCTGTCAGAAAGGGAATTCCAAACTCTCCCCAATAGAGTTCAGGATAACCATCCAGAAAGTACACACAGCTTATTTTATGTTGTCTTATTTTGAGTTATTTTTAGAACAGCATTTCTGTTTAGAACAGAACAGCATTTCCCAACCTTTTTCTTTTTCATTATCATGACAGTAAGGAGGAAGATATCAGATTTATATATATATATATATATATATATATATATATATTTTTTTTTTAATATTTTTGACTTTTGCTTTTTTTTTAAAAGATATTTATTTATACAAGAACTGGGGTACAGGCCAGATGTGTGGGAGGGTGAGAGAATTCACCAGAGATAGGGTGGGAAGCAGAACAGGCAGATGGACTGAAGACACTGCTGAGGGGAGCAGCGGGCGAGGCAGGAGAGGTCTGCCGCACCATGTGGGTTTCTCTCCGGTCGGCCGGGAATCAAAGCCGCACCGCAGAGGCTGCGTACAGCTTCACAGCGCTGCGTTCAACTCGCTGCGCCACCAGGGAGGCCCTAGATTTATATTTTAAATTAAAGTTTATTCTTAGCAGGAGAAATAAAATACAAAGAAATACTATTGTGTCAGGCAGGTCTGAGCTGTGGTGGGGTGCACAACCTATTGTAATGTCTAAGATTTCCTCATTCCCCAAGAATGAATTTTCATTCCCTAAGGAGTGATATTATGTCCATTTAGAAGGTAGGGTCTAGAAGCATCGTCTAGATGCTAAATGGAGCAAAGGAGGTTTAAAATCAGTTTGCCTTACTACTCAAAAGAAGGAA